GTGATTTTTCTTACTGGCTTTACCTCTCCGCCAAGCCGTAAATCTGCACGAACACAAGCACATCTCTCTGCGCGGCCTCCTCAGTCAGCAGCATCTACACTTCTGCCTGTTTAATATCTGTTTCATTTTAATACTTTTCTCGGGTGTATTGTAGAATCTGGGTCATTGTTGATCCAATGTTTTTCCCCTACTCAGAGGAAGATGAAGAGGAGGGTAGTTATGACAGTGAGGATGCAGATGACGTCTTGCATCCCAGAGACGGCTCCGCCAGCTTGGTGGTGACTGGCCCCTCCCCCTCGTCCATTGTAAAGTTAGAAGCCAATCAGAAAGCGAAGAACAAGAAGGAGCGACAAGGCCTCAGCGGTAAGGCTGCACGCTGGAGCTTGCACACGTCTGCGCTTTTTTACACTTCACTCTTTGACACACAAAGACCTCGGTGCAGAGGTCGGATTTTAATGTTCTGGAATTTTACGGGCGGGTATGCGAGCGGGTAATTCATTACACACGGGCGGGTAGCAGGTCAATCAAAACAGTGTTGTAGCCTGCAAAAATAACATATAAGCGAAAATATCTATGTATTAGACTATCATGTACAAATTGTCATCATCACAGTGTGTTCAGTATGTCGGGGGTACCTTACGGTGCTTTCGATTATTTCTCTCCAAGTCGGAACTCGGATGAAAACGTCATGAAACGTCACGAAAAACGTTACTTGCCGTCAGAAACACACCTCTTTTATGACGTTGATGTCGGACAAGATTTTGTTGTCCGAGTTGCCGCTGTGATGTAATTTCAACATGGCGGCTTACACACTCAACAGTAATTCTATTTTATAAATCTTTAAAAATGTTTATTTTGTTAAATGTATTAATAGTTATAAATGTAACTGCACGTGTTCGATTTAGAGAATACTATATCATGACCGTAAACAGTATCCTATCATCCAATATAAGATTTTTACCAGACTTGTTAGTGTCTTTGGTTTGTTTGTAGTTTGTTTGCCTCTCGAAAAAAGAATATCGCTATGAATGTGTTAAAATATTTTATAAAGCTTTTAATGTGGTTTGACTAGTTTGTGTTTCTTGTTTGTTTGTGTCTCGGAAAAAATAATCTCACTCCAAATCTGCTAAAATATAAAGCAACAACACACAGCAGCGTGTTCATGGAGGCAGCCATGTTTGTTCCGAGATGCGGTAGCTCGAACGGGAGATTGTCGGACGTGATGTCACTCAACTCTTAATTTCCGAGTTCCGAGAGAAAAACAAACGCATCATTAGATAATCGCCTCGACAAACATTCACATACACGTCTGAATCCTTGCGGAAGCGTGTCGTCGTGTTCTCTCTTTAACGCTCGTCACAGTATGGATAGCTTAGATCTATCTGATTTGATTTTGTGTTAAACGGACTTTTTCGTTGCAATTCAAAACTCATGTAGGCCTAGCGCTTGTCACGCTGAGAGGTGCATAGAAAAAATAATTGTGTGTAATTTATCACGGGTACGGGCGGGTAACGGACGGGTAACGGGCAGAATGTTAACGTGCCCAGGCGGGTGCGGATTTAACTTTGAAATAATCACGGGTGCACGGGTGGGTGTGGTGCTGTACTGTGCGGGTGCAGGTCTCCAAAAGTGGACACGTGCAGGACTCTGCCTTGGTGTGTATGTTGATGCTTCCTTGTCCCACCCTCGCCAGTGTGGTGCAGGTTTGGTCACCATACCTTAAAAAGGACATTGCTGCCTTGGAAAGGGTTCAACATAGGGCTACGAGAATGATTCCTGGTCTTAGAGGAATGTCTTATGAGGAGAGGTTAGCTGAGCTGAATCTGTTCAGCCTCAAGCAAAGGAGACTAAGGGGGGACATGATCCAGGTCTATAAGATTCTAACAGGTCTGGATGCTGTTCAGCCGAATGGCTATTTCAATATTAGCTTAAATACTAGAACCCGTGGCCATAAGTGGAAATTAGTGGGAGAACATTTTAAAATGAATTTGAGAAAACACTTCTTTACACAGCGTGTAGTTAGAGTATGGAATAGTCTTCCTGTTAGTGTAGCGCAAGCTAAAACCTTGGGTTCCTTTAAATCAGAGCTAGATAAGATTTTAACAACTCTGAGCTATTAGATAAGTTTCTCCCCCAAACGAGCTTGATGGACCTAATGTTTGTACATGTTTTTATATTCACAAATTTCAACCACAGGATCCCTAAGCCTTTCCTGCGTCGAAGGTCAGGTGAAGGTGAAGAAGAAGGTCCCCTCCAGGCCAATGCCCCTGGCGCGCCCCAGGAAGCCAGCCGAGGACAAGGAGGAGGGGAGGCCAAGGAGAGTCCGGGGCCCCAGTCCTCGCCACCAGCAGGCGATGTGGGGGATGCGAGGAGACAGGAGATCGCCTGCAGTCATCAGCGAGAGGCTGAAGAGGGCAACACGCAAGAGTGTGACACAGCAAGTGCCGACCAGAAAGGTGATTGGGGCAGGCCGGAGAGGGCCATCATTTGCATAATCAGTATGCATAAGGGCTCATGGGAGTCGTCTACCCCACACCCACAGCAGACTGGTGTGTATGAAAGACACTCAGAGTGCATTATAAATGCTGAAGGGTGCCCCAGTTTACATGGCATGCCTAAGGTTGTCGCCCAAGCACAATCCAGCCAGTCAGACTGTGAGTGACATGATGAAACAGACTTCCTCTCACTTTATCCAGTCCAAAGGTCGTGCGGTAAGTCGGCTGCTGGAGAGCTTTGCGGCCAACGAAGGCTTTCAAATGGACGAGGATAGCAGCTTCTCAGATGGTGGGGAGGACGGAAGCCAGCCAGGGCACATGTGTCACGTGACCAGGAGCACACCGGGTGAGGCCTGGTACTCCATGTGTACACAAACGTTTCCTGGGAAGGGCTAGCAGCCACCCTCTTGATTGTGTGTGTGTGTGTGTGTGTGTGTGTTCTGCAGCCCTCCCCAGCTGCATCCTGACCAAAGAGCTGCTCATGGATGGTTTGAAGGTCCTGATCTCGGAAGATGAGCTCCTGTACGCCGCTCGCATCCACACGCTGGAGCTGACGGACATGTGAGTGGCAGGCAGTGTGGCCACATGCACCATCGCCGTCCTTCTCAGGCCAGTGGTCATTCTGATCAAACAGTGGAATTTCGGAAGAACTCATACTCCAGTTTTTGCCCAGAGGTTCATAGGAAGTCAGTGATGTATTTCTGATGAAAAGTTGCTCTGCTCTGTTACCCTGCTTCAAGGGGCTAGGCTGAGTGGGGAACAGTCTGTGAAAACACACACAAAACAAGCCCTTTCTGCTCTGTGCTCTCCCAGCTACAGCATCACCATTGACGGCGAGCGAAGAAGCCGGCAGAAGATCTACTCCTTGGAGCAGCTCTTACAGGAAGCTGTGAGTTTAGCCTTCTGGGCTCTCTTTCTTGCCCAGAACTTGACGCTCTACCTTAGGGTCGTGGTGATTTTCAGACAGTATCTGTCATGCTCAGCTGCTAGTCACACTCTCCGTGCGGAGTGCACAGCCCCAGCTGCATGGCACGTGACCTTTGCCAGGTCCGGCACAGTGACACCACCGCCACCACCTCCAGTGACAGCGTTCCTCCCTCAACCGCAACCGCTTAGAATTTCTCACCCCAACGGCATGACAACAGAGCCGCGGGTGACAGCACAATTTGTCATGCATCACGGTGCAGACGTGCTGATCCTCTCAGTGTAAACATTTTAAAAGGGGCAGTGCAGGAATGAGGGGATTGAGAGACTCGCCTCCTCAGCCAATCCCAGCTCGGCCCCTCCATTGGCTCCCAGGGGAGAGGAGTAGCAGCAGGGGGTGTGAGGCTGGTTGTGGGGGGAGGGGGCTGCATGCAGCTGGGACAGATGTGCAGGACACACAGCTACAGCCGTGCAGGAGTCTTTGATTGACCCAGCTGCTGTGTAGGGGTCTGTGATTGGGCCAGCTGCTGTGTAGGGGTCTGTGATTGGGCCAGCTGCTGTGTAGGGGTCTGTGATTGGGCCAGCTGCTGTGTAGGGGTCTGTGATTGGGCCAGTAGCAGGGAGTCTGGAAAAGTTTGTCTGGGCTGGGGAGGTAGTGGGGAAGAATTGGAGAGTGGGAAAGGGCCAAACTGAGAAGGAGGGCAGAGGGGAGAGAAAGGGATGAGAGTAGGAGGGAGAAAAGCGGGGAGAGGTGGAAAGAGAAATGGAGAGGAGAACAGTGAAAGGGGGAGGGGGGAAGAACAAAAAAGGAGGAAGGTAGGAAGAGAAACAGAAAGGAAGACAGTGAAGGGGCAAAGGGGGAGGAAGAAAAAGGGTGAGGTAGAAAGAGAAACAGAAGGAGAGGAAGACAGAAAGGGGGGAAAAGAGAGGGGAGCGACAAAGAGAAACAAGTACAGGGAGAGGAGGACAGAAAGGGGGGCAAGGAGAAAAATGGTGAGGGGGACAGTGAAAGGGGGAGAGGGAGGGAGAAAAAGAAAGAATGAGGCAGAAAGAAATGGAGAGGAGGACAGCGAAAGAGGGAGGGATAGAAACAAGGAGAGGCAGAGTGGAGAGAGAGAGACTGAGGAAAAATGAATGTGACAGTGTGACAGATGTCCTGCTGCTCAGATACATGCAGAAGCCCATCAAGGCTCTCTCTCTCTCTCTCTCTCTCTCTCTCTATCTCCCTCCTCCCTTCTCTCTTTACCTCACATGAGCAGACACACAGTCACCCAGATAGCCTTTCAAAAGCTGTATCTTCCTTCTTTGGTGTTATACAAATACACTGATCCTTCTTGCAAATGTTTCTTTTAATAAGCATTAATAAGTCTCCAAAGCATCATTTAACTGGGCTAAAAATCCAGGTAGGTGCATCCAAACACCCGTTTACCTGCAAGTCCCAGCAAGTCTCCCTTCCTGGCCAAGGCCTGGAGTTTAAAGCAGGCAGCAGGCGGTCATCGTAATGCGCTCTGGCTCACGAGCCCAGATTAGCAACATTAGCCTGCTTTGTACCCGTCAGCTTTGACTGAGGCTGAAATGTCAGCCTGCTGATGGTGTAACATGAGAAAGCGTGTGTACATGTGTGTCCTCAATCTCGCTTCCAGTGTAGGTGAGCTCATGTAGGAGACCACGCATCCAGGGTTGAGGAATTTCCTGCTTGAGCACTGATCACTTATATTTTTTTGTAGATTTTTCTTTCACCCGCCCATGTTGACTGACACAGACAACAATGGATCCTGCCGCTTCTGTTTTCTGTTTAGGTGCTTTGGTAACACATCAAGTGACTGAAGCTCTATGTGTGTGCATGTGTGTGTTCGTGTCTCGGTCAGGTCCTTGATGTGCAGCCAGGGAGCGAGGCGCTGCTAACATCGGGCCAGCGGGTATGCGCGTACTGGAGCGAGCGCTCACGGTGTCTCTACCCCGGATATGTTAGCCGAGGTGAGCGGGGCAGGGGCCTGAACTCTGCTCATACACTTTGTGCATTTTAGCACATCTCCGCAAAAGTCGCTACCACATCATTCATGTCAATTTGGTACTACTGATGAAATCAAGCATTCTTATTTGTTTTCCTACCTGTTCTTGTAGGAGGCACTTATGAAGATGGGAAGGCAGGTGGTGTCATGGTGGAGTTCGACGATGGAGATCGGGGGCGGATCTCACTGCCCAATATTCGCCTCCTCCCCCCTGACTATCAGATCCACTGTAAGTAATCCATAATTCACTGTTACCATGTGAACTGAAAGGTAGAATAGTGTCAGCCATCAGCTTCTCTAGTTCTCCATAGTCACAGATAAATGCTCAGCCCCACTCCTATTCCATTAGCACCCGCAAGCGTCGAGCCACCTACCCTGGTGGCCTGTGCTGGACAGAGGGGACGAAGGAGCTCCACATTGGAGAAGGCACCTCTGTCTCACATGACATCTGAGAAGCCAAGCAAAATGGTGAATGTGAAGGAGTGCAAGGCCATCACCAAGGCCAAGCCAGGTAGAACCACCCTTGGAAACCAGTTAGACAATACAGGTCCAGTTAGACAATGCATGAATTAATTATGGGAAAATGGCAGTGGATGGGTCCTCTTTAAGAGCAAATAGGCATGAAAATAGGGTGAATGTATTTTAGAGGGCAGATTGACATTCTTGGGGCTGCTGTTGGTTGCTACCCATGGTGTTATGACAGTTTGTGTGTCATTAAGTCATTTCATTAAAAAATAAGGAGCATATTTTCATTACTATCATTTGTGTGCTAACAGGCAGACCGAAAGGTTCAACAACAAAGAATTCCTTGGTGACCAGGATGAATAAGACTGCCAACCCTATGCTCAGCTGGCCAGTGGATTTGGTGCCCAAAAAGAAGGCTATAAACAATCTCTTCCAGGTCAATGGGAGCCCCAGGAAACCCTTCAAAAGGAAGGAGGTTGAAGCCTTTTCACTCTCATCTCCTACAGTTGCCCCAGCTAAAGGAATCTTCCGGAGCTCCTTCGCCGTGGACTCCTTCAGCAGCATTGCTAATGGTTACTCCTCTTTTGGAAACCAGCCGTCTGTGATGTCTGTCAGTTCCAGAAGCTCCCTCTGCGGTCGGGGCAGGAGGCCAGGTGAAGGTGGGGGCATGCAGGGCCGGAAGGCAGAGTTTCTTGTCAAACTTGACCATGAGGGGGTAACCTCGCCTAAGACAAAGAACAGCAAAGCCTTATTGCTGCGAGGATCCACAGGGCATGGAAGTCAGCTGGACAAAGGCTTTGACACAAAAGGGGTGGCTGCCATGGCCCAGACAATTGGTTATTCTCACCCTGCTCTGCTCATTAAAGACAACAATAAGGCGGATGGCACTCGAGCAGATCTCCTGCTCAAAGGGGTGTCCCACCTGCAGAAACCTACACCATCCTTGGTCTTAGCTGATTACGCTGACTTTGGCATGAACTGTCACAGTGACTGTCCCAGTTCCTACTCTGACATGGACGAGGAAGAGGATGATGATGATGAGAGGGGAGCCCCCATGGCTACTGCCTCTGGGGGCCTCAGAACAGCTGGAAGCTTCCTTTCCCGTCTCTCAGTCTCTTCCTCCTCTGGTTCCTCTAGTTCCTCCAGCTCTGGCTCCCTGTCCAGCTCCAGCCTCTGCTCCTCAGACAATGACTCGTCCTACAGCTCGGAGGATGAGGAAGGCTCTGCACTGCTGCTGCAGGGCTGCCTCTCCTCCCATCGGCCCCTCCTGCAACCCCCAGAACCAGCATCTGGGCCAACTCAGGGGTCCTTTGTCGCCAAGACCATGACTGTTCCTGGCACAAAGGCCGAGAATGACAACAGTGCCAGCAGCAAGCCACTCAAACGAAAGCAGTGTCCAGGCTCTGCCCCTAAGAGTCCAAAGGATCTGGCTAAGAGACAGAAGTTCCAGGCGGTGAATAACCAGCCCAAGGTCTCGGCTTTTCTGCCAGCACGCCAGCTTTGGAAATGGTCTGGAAACCCCACACAGGTAAGCCACCTGGATATATGTGGTCTCGTCATAACTGTTAATGCATTCGCTAAGTACATTAAACCTGTTTTAGTCTGTAGGGCGAATAGGTCATTAGTATGATGGTCAATGTGTCATGTTGTGTTTCGCAATTGTTTGACTGTTTGGTCTGTGTTCGGCAGAGGAGGGGCATGAAGGGTAAAGCACGCAAGCTGTTCTATAAAGCTGTGGTGCGCGGCCGAGAGACTGTGTGCATCGGGGACTGTGCGGTATTCCTCTCCGCCGGCCGCCCACACCTGCCCTACGTGGGCCGCATCGAGAGCTTTTGGGAGTCCTGGAGCAGCAGCATGGTGGTGAAGGTGAAGTGGTTCTACCATCCTGAGGAGACAAAGCTGGGCAAGCAGCAACGTGATGGCAAGGTGGGGTTTGCAGCTCAAGGGCAAGCAGTGCTGACATGCAACTTATTTTCCAGGCTTTTCCTGCAGCTGTAGAAACTGAATTCAACATGTTCATCAAGTGTTATATGAGTAATCAAAACTCAGGATTAACCAGAGTGAAAGCTAAAAACATCTTCACTTTGAGAGCTGTTATCTGCAGTGTGAGCTATGTGTTGCCCTTGCCAGATGTTCAGATTTTCTGAAGCAGTATTGCTTTGCGGGGCAGAAAGTAAGTGAGGGTAAGATCATAGGGTATCCTCTCCCTGCCATAGGTGGGAGTTTTGAGGGAAGCAGCTTTGGCTTGTATTTGTGAAGCTCTTTTTTGTCATGAAATAAGGCTGGCTGGCTAGCAGTATTGCACATTGAATATTCAGTCTCTGATGTTGCACCCTGCTGGTTGTGGCAAAGCAGACATACTGAATATTCATAGTCAGTGAGATTTTAACGTCTTTGGTCTGAATTCCAAGTACATCTTACACTCACATTTGATTCTTTGTGGTTAATGCATAGTGCTGGTCACATTCACTGTCTTCCTTCATGTTTCCCAGCATGCCCTGTACCAGTCCTCCCATGAAGATGAGAATGATGTCCAGACAATCTCCCACAAGTGCCAGGTGGTGAGCCGTGAAGAGTACGAGCAGCTGAGCCGTATTAGGAAGCCCATTGGTAACAGCCAGGAGCTCTACTACCTGGCTGGGACTTATGACCCGGCCAACGGCCAGCTCTTTACTGCGGAGGGCCTGCCCATCCTGTGCTAGCCCTGGATCTACTTCTAGATACTGCTGAGGAGCCCTCAGGCCCCCCGAAGGGTATGAAGTGTAACTGCAGTGTCACCCAGCTCTTCTGAGGCAGGGAAAACACACGACTGTTCGACACTTGTGAACATGCAAGTGGCCAGCCGCCACTACATTGAGAGACAACATGGATACAGCAAAGGGCATCCCCAGGCGGTCCACTACACCCAGAAGCCCCACGGCACTACACAGTTTGCACAGGATTGTGCCCACTTGGGTGGAGAGCTCCAAGAGTGTAGTTTGACAAAAGCCCCTTAGCCATGTGAAAATAACCTGCTGTAGACCAACCTCCAAACAGGCGCGCTGCCCCTCCCTGGTATCTGCCAAGGACAGTGGCTGGTTGGAGTGAGGGGGTAGTGGTGTGATCTCTCTGACATAAGCATCATTGACCCCTCCTCTTCTGACATGCGTTTGACGTGGGGAAGATAGAGCACAGCTGCTATGTGGCATAGCCTGGTCCAAGGGGCATCCTCAGCTGGCAAGTGTAATGTACGGGAGACCTGCAGACCTCATTCTGATAATTCCAGGGACGTTTTTAACGTGAATTTACATAGATATATAAAGATACTTCTGTACATGTACACACAGATACATACTGTATACATAATGGAATGGTTATCCTATCAAGCCATACTTCAGTACCTCTTGCCTGATCTGATTCAGGCTGTGCGTGTGTACGTGTGTGTGTGTGTGTGTGTGTGTGCGTGCGTGCGTGCATGTGTGTGTGGGTTGGTGGGTTGTACAGAACAATTCTCTTCTTAATGTCTGTGTGTGTGTGTGTGTCTGTAATATATATATATATATATATAGTATATATATACTTATATGTATATAATGTGTACATGCACGTACACACACACAAATACAATTGAGAGATTATATTTCTTTCGTGTTGTCAGATGTGTTCCTTTGTAAGGTTACTGAATATTGGTTATGAGACTTGAATGGGTTGTGACTTTGTTTTATTTGTTTTAATTTTAACGATGACCACCACCACCACCACCACGCTGGCTAGTTAGACCAGCCAAACAATGACCACTGCTGTTGCCAAAACCAATCACCCAGGTGGTCCATCTGATGCATTGTTCCTGGAACAGCATGTGTCAAAGGTTGGAGGGGCATCCCATAATGTCCTGGCCCCTTGGCCAGTTGAAATGTGAACGGCTCAGTGAGTCTAGTTTCCTTTTTACCACTTTGCTCTATAATACCTTTGTTATCTGTACTGTTATTGCTGGTGTCTGCCATTCTTTTTCACATCTCACAGAAACCCCTGAGTCTCTCATCATTGTGCCCTTTAGAGACGGGCACACTTCTGAACTGTTAGATGGTTTACTGGACGTGGGCAGTTGTGACTCTGCGGATTGCTGGTCTCAGAGGAATATGCAGTTATTCTGCGCCACTCTGAGAATGTGGCTTCTGAGCAGCGTTAGCATAGCAGCGCTGTATTAGCCTCTGAGCAGGGTTAGCATCAAAACACAGTGTTGACTTCTGAGCAGGGTTAGCATTGCAGCACTATGTTGGCTTCTGAGCATAGATAGCATTGCAGCACTGTGTTGGCCTCTGAGCAGGGTTAGCATTTCTGCACCTTCTTACCTTCTGAATAGGGTTAGCATTGCAGCACTGTGTTGGTCTCTGAGCAGGGTTAGCATTGCAGCACTGTGTTGGCCTCTGATTAAGGTTAGCATTGCAGCATTATGTCAGACTTTGACCACGGATAGCATTGGAGCACTATGTTAGCTTCTGGGCAGAGTTAGCATTGCAGTACTGTATTGTCTTCAGGTTAGCATTGCAACTCTGCATGCACCATGTGGGAAATTGATGGCCTGTGAAGCACAATCATTAAGAGGAAGTTAAAATTAATATTTAAAATAGTAAAGAAGTTGCCTATTTGATAGGCTTAAACAATCAAAGCGATATGTTTTTTCGTTGTAACTGTCGTTGTTGTTGCTTTTGCTTTTGCCAAATATATTGAGTTATTCAATCAGTATTTTAACTATTGCTCATCTTTATTTATTGCCAATGTAGCTGCAAAGTCAGTAACTTTATAGAGAATTTGGTGTAGTACAATATAAGATGTTACTTTCTGATGTAATAGACTGAGCTCTTAGGTGATGGTGCAGAGGACATTTATTTATTGAAGTGACACTGGATCAGCGTTCTCAATGGCTGTTAGTAGTGTGGTCAGCAGACCCCTTGCTAGTCTGTAACTTGGCAGTGAGATTCCCTTGCTGCTCCTTGGCAGGAAGTGACATCATTGGGCACAATCAACCCCCCCCCGTTTCTTATGGTTTGGTTAAATGATTGTTGATTACTGACAATAAACCGATGTCCTACCACACTTACTGTTTTGTGTGGTTTGTTTGAATAGGGAAAGATTTAAAGAAATTATGTTATTTTTATAGAGTTCCTTATTTTTTTAACTTGATGTTGAATGCTTGAATTGCTATGTACTTATAACAGGGACTCATGTACTTATAAATGGCAAATGTGGATCATTAAGCCTTTTCTCATATTTTTATTGATCCCAACTGTTAATCCAAGATGTAGGAATTACTGTGAAGCATCACTTGGTCGAAACCGGTGTTGTACATAAGAACTAGTTTACTTTGTCATGTACAAATTGCTTGTTTGTCTTTTTTTTCTGTCCTCTGCATAAAATGTGGCCAGGGAACAATTTGAGTTCACACAGTAGGAAATTAAGCATATAGCTTTGACATCCAATGACATGCCAGAGCCTGTGTGCACACCCACATGCGAATGTGTCACTCCTACACAGATGGCAGTCGTCTGTGGGCTGTTTCTGTCATGTCAGCTTCTTCATGGTTTTGCCTCATATATAGACTTGGGGGGTTCCCTTGATCATTAAAACCATATGGATCCCAGTCATTTTACATTTTCTCACAACTTTAAATAAAGGCCAAATAATCTGATTTTGAAGAATGGTAAGAAAAGTTTTCCTTAGCCAGCTTGACTGGACATAGGTGCTGGGTGGTGTAGGACTAATGCAATGTCTTGCTTAATCGACAGGTCAACGTTGTATGACACGGGTGCAATACTACTAGGATGTAACTGAATAGATGTTGAGCATTGTACAGCAGCTGACAGGTCACGGTAAGCGGTGAGGAGGACGCAGGACCGTCTGTCCTTTCACCCAATTTTATTTAAATCCATTATCAGCAACAGTAAGGAAATTAAAGTTTTCAAACATATTCCTAAAATTATTTCTCAGAGTTACTTGGCAAATATTATAATATTTTAACACAAATTAAATAAAGATTTTAATTATATTCCTATTGTTTTGTTGTTTTCTTCCCTTGAATTTAAAGTGTTTTCTAATTGTTTCAATATTGTAAAGAATTGTAAATATGTACAGTGTGTTTTGATTTTGGGGTAGGCATTTTGCAGAAAAATGGAGTTTATGAACATCAAACCATGTAAAAACATTTTAGTATTAAGATTTTTACAGATGGCTTATGAATAAATATGACAAAACCTGCTGTTGGAGTTTGGCTTTGACTGTATAAAATAAAAAAAAAACATTAATCTTCTGTTGAAATCGCATTCATAGTATATGGAGAAAGTGTGAAAGACAAGTAGGGCTGATTTTTCTGTTCAAACTACTGACACGGGGGGTGTAGTGGGAACGCTCTGCCAAAAACCATTTTTTTCATCGGTGTTGGCTATTGAATTTTGTGCGTGTGTCCACGACCCATTGTTTGTGACGGTTAATCTTCAAAATCTTATTTTGAAGTCAGTCTCGATGACTTATCGTAACATTTAGCTGCCGTTTAATGCCTTGTTGATCGCCTGTTTGCGTTCCCCTTTCTATGGCCTTTGCCCTCATCTCCTCTCTGCTGCACTTCAGGCCCTGGCTGATCATGCTATGTTTGCACTCTCACGTTCCCTTATCTTCCTGACTAATGGAGGTCTCTAATTGGAGGTCTCTATTATGCTGGTGGGTGTCAGCTGAATCGACTGTAATACTGGTGGAAACCCTGTCTCCTTGGGCCCCGGAGTGCCTTTATTTGGGGGGGGGGGGGAGGAGAGAGAGAGAGACATCCATTAGTCATTTTCTGGAGGAATTGCCTCAACTAGCATAAATGGCTGTTTACTCAGCCGGGTTATGAGTGTGCGCTATGGGGATGGCCGTGTTTGTCAGAATCTCAGCCTTCTTTTGTGTTTGCGGAGTTACGCTCTAGTAGGCGTCCTCCACTGAAATCCTTGCTCATTGCCCTCCCCATCTCATGCCATGGGCAGGAAAGCCTCGCTCTGTGTCGGCGGCGTCTCTCTTCCCCTATGGATCACTGAAAGCACAATGCAATCTCTCTCTTCCCTGTCAATGATTAACCTTCCAATTTGTTAAAAAAAATTGTACTCTACTACAGGTGAGAGGGCCATTTCTGTTGTACCTTTGAACACCGAATGCTTAGTAGTGGCATGCCAATAATACATTGCACTGACCTGCTGCCGTTGCGAGGCATAAATAGGGAATTCCATTTTCTCTAGGCAGGATCAGCTGTGGTTGCTGTCGTCACGATGTGGACGTGACCGGGCATCACCGGGTGGGCGTGACAGCCACAGGAGCCCATCATCTGCAAAAAGCAAATACGCAATCCTGAGGCCCCCAAACCTGACCCCCTCCACTCCTTGGCTATGCCTAGAAATTCTGCCCATAAATGTTGTTGACAAAGGGCAGCCCTGGCAGAATTCAACACCCATGAGGAAGGAATCTGACTTATTGCTGGCATATAGACTGGTTAGGCAAACTCCCATGAACCATCCAGTATGCTTGTGAGGGTGACAAGCTGATCCATTGTTCCACAACCAGCACAGAATCTGCATTGTTCCTCCTGGATCCGATATTCGACCAACGGACAGACCCTCCTCTCCAGTACCCTGGCATAGACTTTCCCAGGGATGCTGAGGAGTGCGATCCCCCTAAAGTTGGAACACATCCTCTGGTCCCCTTTCTTAAAGATTGGGACCACCACCCCAGTCTGCTAATCCAAAGGCACTGTCCCTGACATGCGCGCAATGTTGTAGAGGTATGTCAGCCAAGACAGCCTAACAACATCAGGAGCTTTCAAAAACTCAGGGCGAATCTCATCCACCCTCAGAGCCCTACCACCAAGTAGTTGTTTGACTACTTCAGTGACCACAGCCCCAGAGATGGGCAATTCTTCCCCTGAGTCTTCCAGCTCTACTGCCTCCGAGGTAGGATGTCAGTAGGATTTAGGAGATCCTCGAAATATTCCTTCTACCGCCTAACTATATCCCCAGTTGAGGTTGACAGTTTTCCATCCCTGCTGCAAATAGTATTGGTGAAAGCCTGCTTCCTCCTTATGAGTCACCTAACAGTTTGCCAGAACCTTTTCAAAGCCAACTAAAAGTCCTTTTCCATAGCCTCACCAAACTCCTACCGCATCCAAGTTTTTGCCTCAGCAACCGCCCGAGCTGCTTCCTGCTTGGCCTGCCAGTACCTGTCCACTACTTCCAGAGTCCCATAAGCTAACCAAGCCCTGAAGCCCTCCTTCAGCCTGACAGCTCCCTTTACTGCTATGTCCACCACTGGGTTCGGGGTTCTGCTATGATGGTGCCGCTGCAACTGGCACCAACAACGTTATGGCCACAGGTCCGCATTGCTGCCTCAGCAATGGAGCGCCAGAACATGGACCATTCAGCCTCCATGTCCCCTGACTCCCTTGGGAGAGAAGAGAGTTTCTTCTGGAGGTGTGAGTTGAAGATCTCCCAGACAGGGACCAGACACTCCCAGCACACCCTCAGTATGCGTTTGGGTTTAACAGGTCTATCCAGCATCTTCTCCTGCCATCGGATCCAACTCACCAGCAGGTGGTGATCAGTTGACAGCTTAGCTCCTCTCTTTACCCGAGTGTCCAAAACATATGGACGCAGGTCTGATGATTCGATTATAAAATTGATCATGGAACTGCGGCATTGGGTGCTCTGGTGCCAAGTGCACTTATGAACACCCTTATACTCGAATATGGCGTTCGTTATGGACAAACTGTGATTAGCACAGAAGTCCGATAACAGATCACCGCTCGGAATACATTCAGGCAGGCCATTCCTCCCGATCACTCCCTTCCAGCAGGTGGTACGAGCCAGTCCACGGCCACCCGAAGTGTCCTGTCCAACATCTATGTCATGTTCTCAAGTACTGCAATGACTATCATAGTCTTGCATGTGGTGCTGGGATGATTATCCATTACTCACGCCTACATTTCTGCTATGTCACTGCTATGATGATGAGGGAATAGTGAAAAGAAGGAATTAGAATGGACTGTTTGAAAATCCAATAAGATCAACTGGAAACAAGAATTCCTGACCGAGTGAGTACTGTCTGTAATTGCAGAAGTCATGTTTGAACTTGTAATCTGTGCGCAATTGAATGAAAATGTGGCTAGGGTTTTAAGTTTTGAAACACGTCAAGTTTTGCAACTCAGTTCAGGATCTTAAGGACGGGCCTGTCGTGGGATTTGTGCGTGTGGTTTCCTAATCTTGATTTTTCCAAATAAAGTCAAAAGGAATTGCTACAGTAAGAGCCCTCAAAGCAGAACAGAGTCTTGCTCTAGGGTACAACAGATGAGTCCAGTTTGATCCTTGAACAAGACCAGATATGATTATATTATCACCTTATTGTTTATACTGGATTATGTAAAAGAAAACCAGCTATCCGAGAGCCATTAAAGTACATCAAATACAAATATGAATAGTATGTTTTCCATTCATTAATACATCACACTGTCAGTCTTCTCCTGCTTTTTCTGACAGATAATGTCCTACACCTTTAGTTACGCTCTCACCATGCCAATTCAGTCATGTTCCCAAGTGATTTGTATTGTTTTGTTTTTTAAAAATCCAATGACTATACCGTCTTCCATTTCTGTGCTTATTATTACGTACTCCAGACTTTTTAGGCACTGGATTGGTGGGAAAGAAGCTTTTTCATGTATTGTTCCTGGGTAAAGTTTATACTTTTAGGTTACATGAGTGCCGCTCCTGCTCAGTAATGCAAACAAGCAGAGCAACAGGAGTTTGGTATAGTTTGACTCCATCCTCTGAGTCATACGTCAAACAACACAGCAAATCGAATCCATCAGTAAGCAAGGCTGCCTGCTTGGGCACAGCATAATGCTGCTCCCGCTCCCTCCTGCCGCTCTTTGATCATATTGTTCTGCTGCTCCCGCTCCCTCCTGCCGCTCTCTGGTCTTAGCGTACCACTGCTCCTGCTCCCTCCCACCGCTATTTGGTCATAGTGTACCACTGCTCCAGCTTGGTGCAACAACTGGAAGGTCATTTTATGGAGGAAGAGAGAGCGCAGTAGCTTTGTGCTGGGGCTCACCTCAGAATCCATTACTTGCCAGAGGAAGGTCAGCACTCAGGACTTTGTTGTCATGTGGATCTGCTGTTGGACTTTAGGTCATGAGATAATGAGCCTGGAGAGTTCATTTTTCTCTTGGAACTGGGAAATTCTGAGATGAGTGACATCACATCCGACAGTCTCCCGTTCGAGCTACCACTCGGAACAAACATGGCTGCCTCCATGAACACGCTGCTGTGTGTTGTCGCTTTATATTGTAGCAGGTTTGGAGTGAGATTTTTTTTTTCAGGGAGACAAACAAGAAACACAAACTAGTCAAACCACATTAAAAGCTTTATAAAATATTTTAGTACATTCATAGCAATATTCTTTTTTTGAGAGGCAAACAAACTACAAACAAACCAAAGACACTAACAAGTCTGGTAAAAATCAGATATTGCACGATAGGATACTGTTTACGGTCATGATATGGTATTCTCTAAATCGAACACGTGCAGTTACATTTATAACTATTAATACATTTAACAAAATAAACATTTTTAAAGATTTACAAAATAGCATTACTGTTGAGTGTGTAAGCTGTCATGTTGAAATTACGTCACAGGGGAAAATTCTGTGCGACATGAACGTCATAAAAGAGGCGTGTTTCCGACGGGAAGTTACGTTTTTCATGACGTTTCGTGACATTTTCATCCGAGTTCCGACTCGGAGAGAAATAATCGAATGCACCATTATCCCAGGAATCAAGGCACTTTCACACTATGAAAAGCGTGACAACACTAACTACTATTAACATCACCAACTGCAGGGGTGGGGTGCGAACCTCCAATCCTGGAGGTGTGAAGGAACATGAAAGATATCACTTTTTCATCTGGTTGAAAGATGATGTGTCTGTGTAGGGAAAGAAATAGCTCCCCTGGTACCATTGAGGTTATTGGGAATTTTTAACAAATTCAATTAACTGAGAGTCACTGCTGTGCTGAATCCTTGTTACTCCATGAAAATATTATAATGCATTTTAAATAACTTTAAAATGTTTTGGATAAAATGATCAGCCGAGTAATACAAATGTTTAAAGTTATTTTGTGCTTCCAACTTATTTCCACAATCATTATGAGAAAACCATCTCACTGTATTGGAATTGTTCTTTTCTGG